GGAGTTCCTCATAGTACCTTCTCCATCGCCGAAGAATATCCTCATCTACGGTAAGAGGGTGTCCAGACCTGTCCTTCAAGACTTTTTGACTGTCCTACTTTTCACCTCGGAGCCGGCCGATGGTCTGCAAGAATACCTTGTATGCCGCGTGTAAATTCGACTCCAATACCTCACCGAACTTCTCTCAGGAAGCAGTTTTGGCTTTCGCCAGTGCCTTCGGTGCCGCCTTGCGTGCCTCGACATATCGCACGCGAGTAGAAGGCACTTTGTTTCGAAACCATTTCTTGAACGCTGCTTTTTTCTCTTTAACTGCCAGTTGTACCTCTCGTGTCCACCATGAAGATCTTCTGACCTCCAGGCGGTAGGCCAACCCGTTTGTATCCGCAGCATTCGGCGGCAGCCTCGAGTAGGCCTCTCTTAAACAGCTGCCACTATCCAGGCGGCAGACCAACCCGTTTATATTCGCAGCATTCGGCGGTAGCGTCGAGTATGCCGTTCTTAAAGAGCATCCACTCGGTTTCAACATCACTGAGATCTGTTCAAACCGCCGTGCGATGTCGTTTGCAAATTTCGCTCTCGTGTCCACCGAAGACAATGTTTCCTATTTGATTCTCTGTTTGCTTCTGTCACCAGATTTTCGTATGGTATTCTGTTTCTTACAGCGCAGCGTGCCAACAACAAGGTGGTGATCAGTTGATAGCTCTGCGCCTTTTTTAACACGAACATCCATTACTGAGCGTCTTAAGTCAGACGACTCGATTATCAGATCGATCATCCCTGTAGCAGGTGTATTGCTGCACCCTTCGATACTCGAAGAATGTGTTCATGATGTACAATCTGTTGTTTGCGCAAAACCGCAACAACTTAATGCCATTATTTTTTATGTCACTAAGGCCGTTTTTTCCAGTCACACCGTTCCACTTTGCAGCGTCTACGCCGACATGCACATTAAAATCTTTAATAACTATTTATACTGCAGCATATCTTTTTATTTGTTTTTAGACTATTTTTCTGAAGAGGGTTCGAGCATAACCGGAAACATTGAAGAATATGTATGTAATAAACTCTGTATGTGGTGTCCTCCCAAAAAGAACTTTCCAGCTTTGGAATGTCAAACATTTTGGCTAAAGTAATGGCACCATTGATTAAAGCAAACGCTGTATAAAATTGCGTATGACGGCATTTCACAATATAGATTTTTGAAGGTTGTACCATTTTGATCACGCTTCTTCTCTTTCAACAAGAACCCGCTAATCGAATCAACCACCTGCACATTTTTCTGTTCTTTTGAATTCAATAATCTTCAGTTTCCCGCGACTCTTTGCAGTTTCATATCGTTCTTGACGACATCGCACCAAGCTTTCTTTAATTTCCTTGCAGTTTCGATGCCTGAGCCACATTTCCAACGTATTTAGTGGGTTTTCTTTTCATGTGACCGAAACAACGGAGCTTGTTTTCGATAGACTTTTCTGAAACTGGCGCTACGCTTATCATGCCTCTTGTGAAGCTGTAGCAAATATAACCCTTCTCGCTAACATTACAAGGCCACTTGAACATTCGCATTTCTACCAAGTTTAGCTGTTGCTCGTGTCTCTTCAGGGTAGCCAAACATTTTACTCCGCACAGAAGCACCAGTCTTATAACCATTCTGCACACTTTCCCCGTCAGTTTGATGGGCATCTTCTTGTCAGTCTTCGCTCACTTCTCTTCATTTGAGCAAAGCTTCTTCCGAACAGTGTCTTATCTCACTGTTGATTTCCGCGTTATCTTGTAGGATGGAATCAAGGTAATTGAATTCATAGGTTTGAAGCAGCCTGTTGCCCACTGGTCATTGGTTTGACTGCTTTCAACCTGCTCACCCTAATAAAATAACCCGCCATATATTCTGATTTGGCTTTACTGGTCCAAAGGCCGTTCTTCTCAAGGGCTGTTTGCCATACCTCGGTTTTTCTTCTAGAGCTTCTCTG